TCTCTATATCTCTCTATATCTCTCTCTATCTCTCTCTATATCTCTCTATCTCTATACTTAGACTATCTTAGATTGCTATGATTGCTTGGGCGACCAATCCGAAGCGATCGGGCACAACTTGAGCCTATTTCCCAGGCGGAATTAGCCTGAAGTGGCGATGGGATCCAAAGGGATGTCGCATCATCATCGATTTCTGGAAAGGCCATCGACACTGAGTGTTGCTGTACACGTATGTTGCAGTGATTTGCAGTGCTGCACTTCAAAGTTGAAGTGGCCACATGACACTGGAATTGGCTTGAGCAGCTTGAGTAGCTTGAGTAGCTTGAGAATGCAATGAATCATTTGGACATTTTGGACACAGTTATGTGAATATGATTAATATATATATATAATATGGCAGTGTGTCAAAACCGTGTACCCCTGGTGAACATCAAAATAGCTGGTAAATGGATGTTCATCCCCCTAAAAAATGTATCCATAGGTATTGACCCATACCCATATTATACACTGTTCTTGATATAATTTACACAATTGCACCACATACATGAGATGTTTCGAGCATCGCTCAGCTGAAACGGCCAGATGGGCAGCTTCTGGATTGGCGCTGGGATGAGCTGAGCCCCAGCGAGGCGGCGCAGCATCGGACATGTCTTGAATGTGAAAATTGAAATGAAATGGATTGAACTGGTTAAGTATGGTTGACTTTATGTTAAATGAATTATGTTAAATGGATTTATTTAAATGGTTGAATGTGTTTGGGATGCGGGCTTCATGGTTTGGATTTGGTCGCTTTGCTGCACTTGGTAAGCACCGAACGATGACTGTTCGGAGAGTTGCTGAAACTGATCCATTAGCTCGGCACACAACGGAACTGCAAAGTTCGGCGAGAATGACAGAAATCCTGTGTGTGCGGTGTGTTGCAACATTTGCAACTAATTCTATAGACTATATTGACTATATAGCATTATCAAATCTTGCAATACCCACCATGTCCCACAGGTTGGCAAAGTCTTCCGCAGACTTGTTGTTGAGGGACTGTCCGGGATTGATCGGGATTGCAGGAATTGCGATTTCCAAGCTTGGTGCCGGATTGGAGGGGCATTGGTCATGTAGGAAGTTTCTTGGCTCGGGTGTTGAGGTGGAGTATGGTGGAGTTCACAGTAGCCGAACAAGTTCAGATGGCAACCCATGGGAAAGTGTACACTTCACATTGGAAGGGACTTGGAGTCTAAAACATCCTTAATTGGGCATAAGATTCCTGAGGATTTCCAACGAACCCAAGCAATTGAACCACTCGCATCAAGCTAGATGCAGCTAGATGATTTATATCAATTTGTGATCGTTTCTCAGCTTTTTGGACTGAATCAGCCTTTTTAGCGATGGCGGGAAAGATGCTGTGGACGTCGTGCTGCAAAGCACAGAGATGTGTTTTTTCCATGTTTATCTTTTCGAGAGCGACGAATAGTACAACAGCTATGATTTCTTAAACCTTTGTTGTACAAGTCACAGGTGCCTTACACTCGTTCTTCTGGTTTTCGTGAGGCAAATCCTTCAGCTACGACATGTTGAGTCTTGATGCAGAGAATTGGTATCCTTGACGCACAGAGGGGGTTCAAAACGTTGAGGACCGGTGTTATTTGAAGGAGAATGCCTTTCATACCGTGGAATTGGATATAATTCTGAAACACTTTCAAAGGTTTCAGAAGAACTTCTATACAACGGTTTTTAAAATGATTTAAAACTTTAAAACCAGCGAACAGCTTTAACAGGCTTTAACATCCTTCAGACTTTGGCAATTTGTTGTCCTTTCCATTGCATGCCTTGAATTTCTGCAAGGCATTCAGACGCTGAGTCACCTCGAGAGCTGAAGTCAGAGGCAGAGGCAAGGCAGAGTTCAGCGGCCGGCCGGTTACTGGGAGCAATCTTGGCAGATCTTGGCGGTTGGTAGTGCCATGTAGTGCCATGTAGTGCCATGTAGTGCCATGTAGTGCCATGTAGTGCCCAAGTTTTTGTATGTTTTTGTGTTTTGGCCATTCTGAGCCATACAGCATACCTAGAAGGTCCTAGAAGAGTGTAAGCATGAAGTTGGACATGCAAGAACCAGCCTACCAGCTTTTCCATCCTTTGTTGATGAACTGGCAGTGCTTAAATAACGCATGAGAATTTTCAAGAGAACACAGGATTATTATGGATTATTATGGATTATAATGGATTATTAAAGGGTAAATCTCTTATGAGATATGTGGAGATCCCCAATGGAACGCGCTCCCTGAGGACCAATCGGCGGTGACCAACTGATACAGATGGCCAGCTTGAGGCCCTTGAAATGGTGGGCTCGAGGAAGTGTTCCACTCGTCACATTTCGCTGTACATTTTAATTATGAATTCAGTTTTTTTTTTTTTTAAATAGTTTTTTGTGACATCAATTAAAAAGTGTGTTACAGCATGCCACAGTATGCGTGTATGTGTTTGATGTATATTGATGTATTTTGATGTTCCGAAACCGAGCAACTTCCAAGCCGGAGGCCGTGTTGATATGTGTTGATAGGAATTCTCCAACATTCAGCGGACCTCCCTCTCCGCAGGCCCAAATTTTCCAGGCAAAAAGGACACAGGACAGCGAGATCTCAGCCATTTCCTGTCATGGAACTTCCTCGGACTCGGTGATTCCAAGCATCCTAAAGTCACACGAGTCATGGCATATCATGTCACAAAGATTCAGCAAGATCAAAACCTTTGATTGTCAAAACCTATTCAAAACCTTTGGATCTATTTTGGAACAGAAGTTCCACGGCAAGACTTTCAGGACTTCGGCAGACTTGGCACAGGCGCCGAAGGGCGAATGACTGCTTATCTGACTCACCGAAGATGGGGATAGCCTTAGTCTTCCTGATGCGGTTGCCAAATTCAAATGTATTATTCTTTTTGCACCTGGGGCCCTGCTTTTTATCCAAGTGTAGTTTTTGAATGTTGGTTTCAACATGTTTCAAGACACGATGCTCAAATGCTCATCCTTGTGTACTTGACATTAAACAGTATCATTCCTCTCTGGTATTGTCAGCTGTAAATGATCAAACAGCAGAGGCAACCGCAAGGTTTTAACCTTTTCGTGCCTGCCGTTGCAGAGTCAGCCAGTAAGTTGTTGGGTGGGCTGCTGGCTGCACCATTCTGAGAGTTATATATAGTCATGATAGTCACGATGTTGAAGTCAAAGTGGTCGTCATTTGCGCAATGAAGTGGTGGATGGTGGTAGTTTTTATTGCCAGCAGCTTCCTTTCAGGATGGCTTGTAGATAGAAGCAAGATGAGTCATGGAGCCATTGAGTATCAGTGATTGCTGTCTAATTGAGTATCAGTGATGATATATTGCTTGTGTCCGAGAACCTGATAACAAGAATCCAAATCCAGGTCATCTATGCTGCACAGAAATTCGTGTACAGTAACTTTGGCTGTCTGACTTGCATGGCCAAGTTTGACAATTGCAAAAACATGTTGCCTTTAGATCGATTGAACAGGATGGAACTTCAGGGGAGGTCTGATGTCCATTGATGTCTGTTTTTCAGGGAAGACTGAAGGCGAGATCAATGTGTGTTCGAAGGCCAAATGCCAAATGCAAACAGATAAAGAATGTCTTGTCTGTCTTGTTGTCTTTCCTCTTTATTGCTCGCCGGCCTGCGATGCAGCAACAAGATCCGGTGAACGTCGCATATTGACAAAGAGAAGCATAGACTTTAGCTGTGATGCTGACGCACTCGATAGAGGCAGGCACATGAATGTGGTTTGCATGTATATAGTTTGCTGAAGGTTCAAACATGTTCAAACAGCATACAAGAAGGTATCAACTTGAGAAAAGGATCCACTTTCCTGATTCTTTATATTTCTTTATATATATATATTCTTTATCTTTATTTCTTTCAGAGGTGATTCAGAAAGGACAGTCATGGATAGTCGTGGGAAGCGACAAAGTGCCGGACACAATCCTAGAGCCCCAGCTGTGGCAGCTATGGTGATGGCACGGGGCTTGAGTCAAAGCTGTTAGCATTGCATGGAACACGGACACGGACACGGATGGACACGGCAGATGCCTTGGGTCTGGGCCATCTGGGTCTCAGGCTCCCACCCTCGGAAGTCGCGCAGGGAGACCTTTGCAGGCACCATAGATGGATCATGATGGATCCCGGTCGGACTGGTTGGAACATGTTGGAACATGTTGGAACACGTTTCTGTTGAGGAATTGCTGTAGTTGCTGTAGTTGCTGCAGTTGCAGATTTTACACCAGGCTATACACATACATTTCGGTATACAGCAGTTTGAAAGTGTTCAGAGATTCCCACTCAAACTTGTTTATCTCATCATTTTGCCAGGAGCTTTTGCCTGACTTGCCCAGATCTCAGCTGAGAGCGACAACTGTCAAAGGTCCACAGGGAAGTGGAAGGACTCACGAGATCCCAAGGAAGCAACGATGTATTGCAGGTGTCGTTAAAGACAGCGAACCTATTGCGCAACCAAAAAAAGATTCAAGGGAAGGGAATTGGTTGCAGATTGGTTGCAGATGCTGAGCTTGTACTAGAAGAAACTCAGCAGAAAAGAGTAGCGAAGAGAGGGCTAAGATGAAGTGAAAGCTGGTGGACGTGGGGGGATGGAGATGTCACGATAGCACGAAATGCCGAGATCATTGTAGGAGATAATCGTAATGATTAGAACAGTGATAACAAGATCAAGCAAGAACATGTTCATACTTGTTCTGAATGTTCTGGACACTGACTTTGGTGGTTCCACCAAACGTAGCATGGATGCCTTCTGCTGCATTTAGTGCTAAGGGCTGCGTCCCTGAGTGTGTTGTATCCGTTGTATCCCGGACAGGCCTGGTGGTTTGACCAACATTTGACAGTCAAACAAATGGCGTCTGACGGTCTTCACATGTCCACATTCGCCAAGCCATTGGATGATCGGATGGGAGCCCGGAGCCAGGGACAGAGCAAAGAGCAAAGGAAGCGACCCATGGACCCGAGGGAGAAGGCGCTGGACTGCGGTGCGATGTGTTCCGATTTGAAAGATCAGTGCATTTGAAGGGTCTCCATATGTGTCCAGTTTTGCAAATTGAATGTGAGGCAGCAAAACAGGCAGAGGCAGTTCAGGAACAGTTGAGATTGCAGTTCGAGCAGATTTCTGGACCAAGTGGATCCAAAAGAAGTGTCCAGAAGCTTGCGAAGGCTCCTGTACTGCTAGTGCCTGAACGTGTGTCTTGTGGCTGCAAATCATCACAACGTTTGCGGATTTGTTTGAAGCAGTTTTACCTGCATCTGGACTGCTACGTTTTGGCTGGATGCGGACAGGAAAAAACTCAAGCACATCCTAAGAAGGCTCGCTTTGTCGCAACTTTTGCCGTGCTTTCATGAACGAGTGCTGGTGATCCATGGTCCTTTGTCGCCACATGTGACGACCAATTTCCTGCACACTTTCTTTGGCAGGGAGCAAAGAAGGAAGGCCGCACCGAGGGAGAAGAACCTGTGACGGTTGTGACGGCAAAGTGCAAAGAGCCTGAGATCCCGGAGCCGAAGCCGAAGGAGCCGAAGGAGCCGAAGGAGCCGAAGGAGTCGAAGGAGAAGGCGGTCTTCGTCCAGCACGTGGAGAGTCACTGAGAGCAGAGCAATGCAGAGATATGCAGAGTGACTCACTGGGTAGCGGGTAGCATTTCTTGAATCCATAGAGCTACCCAGATGGATGCAGATGGTGCTCATGTTGAGATTTCTATGGGATTATGTATGATGTAGGGTCAATGCACCAAATTTGCCAATTTGACTGATATCGGATACAGCCTCTGCCGAATGATGGTTAAAACGCAAAACGAACGAACAAAATAAGTGTCACAGTGTGATTTGTGAAGTATCATGATCACGGCGATATATGGCGACATATGGCGACATATGGCGACATAGAGTCCTTCCAAGTTGCTCAGGCATCTCAAGCCAAAAGAAAGGTCGATGTGAAGAAGCCGAGCATGGAGGGCATGCAAGGCATCCAGAGTATCTGCTCGCAGTCACCTTCCGGGAAGTCCCTGAAACGCCTGTCGAACACCCAGAGTGAGAAGAAGTCGCAGAAGGCCATGGTTTTGTGATGTTTCATGTTTCAAATTCAAACATTGGTGGATCCTGGTGGATCTTGTTGGCTGTTTCGTGCTGTCATGGTTAGAGTCAGTTATATTCCTACGGAACCACAACTTAGATCAACTTAGCAAGGCAAGTGACACCATCTTCCACCTTTTACTTCTCTTTCCCATTTCAGTGTGCTGATGATAGAGATGAATTCGGACGTTCATCATATTAGGCCACGGCAACATGGCTGAAAATGGAATCATGTCCGATTTCTTCGCTAGAGATGAGCCCAGCTTCAGGCACAGAAGGATCAGAAGGATCAGAAGGATCTGGCTAAGCTGCCCCAATCCAGGGAGGCAAAGACCAAGCTGAAAGTGCAGGAGTCGCAGAAGGCACAGAAGGTGCTTTGAAATGCTTTGAATTGGTTCAAGCTCTAGGATTCTCCAAAAGAGTTTTCGCATGTTTTTTTCAAACGTTGTTCATGCGTTTTTCACCTGTTGAGGATTGTTGAGACCTGTTTATTTTCACCTGTTTTCATTTTCGCTTCGTCAACTTGGACTCACGTGTCGCATACCATCGTATGCCACTCCCAGGCCAAGAAACTGAAGACTGGCGAGGAGCTCAAGGAGATCGACAGCAAGGTTGGACACGGGTGAGATGTGTCGAGGCTTCACTGACCCAAACTTTGTTTTTGTCATGATTGGTTGACATGTTCTCGAGTTAGTTGATTTGTTAACGTTGTGTATTGTGGAATCTGGTTCAAGTGCAGGACATGATGCTACAATAGGACATGATGCTACATCAACATCCGCAGTCACAAACCATCGCAAACCTCACCTTTCCACTTGCTGCATGTTTGTCTTGTTTCACATTCAGCTCATCTTCGAATCACAACATCCAGGAGATTGGTTTTCGATCAGCTCCTTCTGAGAAGTCCTCTGAGGCACTCAGGGCGTTGTGATACACTAGGAGACATAACAGACATAACTGTGACATAACATGTAGTTTGAGAATGTTTGATCACTTGATGTCCTGAGGCACCTATTCTGCCTATTCTTGTTTCCTTTCGAGATTCGAGAAAGCGGCCGTCATTGAAATATTTCATTGCAATGGGAAACCGGGTTTTTTAAATGCAGCGAGTGCGCCGGCACACTCGGCTCACTCGGCACACTTGACCTCTCCAAGAATCCGGGTTTTTAGACGTAGCAAGTGCGCCAGCACACTCGGCACACTCGGCACACTTGACCTCGCCAAGAACCTGGGTTTTTAGATGCAGCAAGTGCGCCGGCACACTCGGCACACTCGGCACACTTGACCTCTCCAAGAACCCGGGTTTTTAGACGTAGCAAGTGCGCCAGCACACTCGGCACACTCGGCACACTCGGCACACTCGGCACACTCGGCACACTCGGCACACTTGACCTCGCCAAGAACCTGGGTTTTTAGATGCAGCAAGTGCGCCGGCACACTCGGCACACTCGGCACACTCGGCACACTCGGCACACTCGGCACACTCGGCACACTCGGCACACTCGGCACACTCGGCACACTCGGCCAGGCGCGCCAAGCGCGCCAACACCCACGCTCGGCACGCTTGGCACGCTTGGAACGCTCAGAATGAATGAATGAATGAATAAATGAATGAATGAAATGAAATGAAGTGAAATAAGGAATGAATGAAATGAAAGGAAATGAACTTATACTAGAGGACCCGCACTTAGAATATTAAGTCAATCAACTTCCAGCCAAATTAATTAGCTGCGGGCTCCCTGCTGAGAATATTCTAAGTGCGAGCCTGGATATGCAGATAGAATATTCAAAAATTATATGATTTTAGATGTATACTGATCTTGAGAATATTCTAAGTGCATCAAAATTGTGAAACACCTCCATTTTTTTTCGCAAAGCAAGCCCTGGCTTGAGACTCCATAATATTCTAAGTGGAATCAAGAATGGTTTAGTTTATATATATATACACACATATATATATATACACACATATATATATAAAAATCGATATTTGGTAGCCAACAATGCTGACACATTTATATTAATAGTTAGTTGGTAGCCAACAATGCTGGCGTGCCAACAATATTATATATAAAGGTTGATTGTATTTGATTGTTTGCTACAGGACTGTTAAAAAATATTCTAATTGCGATGTTTTGAAACAATTTGAATATAGAAGTCAAATAGCCAAAAACCACCAAAATTCCTTTAAATTCCTTTAAATTTCTTAAAATTATTTAAAGTCCTTAAAATTCCTTAAAAAAAGAATTCACCACATGACATGGGACGTCCAGTTCCTTATTTTTTTAAATACCTTTAAATGCATTTAAATTCATTTAAATTCCTTAGAAGACGAATTTACCACATGACATGGGACTTCCAATTCCTTTCAATTCCTTGAAATTCCCTTAAAATTCCTTTAAAAGTCATTTAAATTCCTTTGAATTCCTTTAAATTCCTTTAAAATTCCTTGAAATTCCTTTAAATTCCTTTCAAATTCCTTTAAATTTATTTAAATTCCTTCAAATTCCTTTAAAATTCCAACAATATTATATATAAAGGTTGATTGTTTGCTACAGGACTGTTAAAACATATTCTAACTGCAATGTTTTGTAACAATTTGAATATAGAAATCAAATAACCAAAAACCACAAAATTCCTTTAAATTCCTTTAAATTCCTTAAAATTAAAAGACGAATTTACCACATGACATGGGACTTCCAATTCCTTATTTTGCTTTACAAAAATTCGTTAAATTCCTTAATTCTTTGAAAATCATTCCAATTCCTTATTTAAAAAAATATTTTAAAATTCCTCTAAATTCTGAAAAAAATTACCCCATGACATGGAACTTCCAATTCCTTTCAATTATTTGAAATTCCCTTAAAATTCCTTTAAACGTCCTTTAAATTCCTTTGAATCCCTTTAAAACCCCTTTAAATTCATTTAATTCCTTTACTTGCAGAATAGCTTCTAAATAGCTGCTAGCTAGCTGCTAAATAGCTTCCAAATAGTTGCTGAATAGCTTCTAAATAGCTGCTAGCTAGCTTCTAAATAGTTTCCAAAGAATTGCTGAATAACTACTAAATAGGTGCTAAATAGCTTCCAAATAGTTGCTGAATAGCTTCTAAATTGCTATCTAGCTGCTAAATAGCTACCAAATAGTTGCTGAATAACTACTAAATAGGTGCTAAATAGCTGCTAAATAGCTTCCAAATAGTTGCTGAAGAGCTTCTAAATAGTTGCTAGCTAGCTGCTAAATAGCTTCCAAATAGTTGCTGAATAGCTTCTAAATAGCTGCTAGCTAGCTGCTAAATAGTGTCCAAATAGTTGCTGAATAGCTTCTAAATAGCTGCCTAGCTGCTAAATAGCTTCCAAATAGTTGCTGAATAACTACTAAATAGGTGCAAAAACGTGGTAAATAGCTGCTAAATAGCTTCCAAATAGTTGCTGAATAGCTTCTAAATAGCTGCTAGCTAGCTGCTAAATAGCTTCCAAATAGTTGCTGAATAACTACTAAATAGCTGCTAAATAGCTTCCAAATACTTGCTGAATAGCTTCTAAATAGTTGCTAGCTAGCTGCTAAATAGCTTCCAAATAGTTGCTGAATAGCTTCTAAATAGCTGCTAGCTAGCTGCGAAATAGCTCCCAAATAGTTGCTGAATAGCTTCTAAATAGCTGCTAGCTAGCTGCTAGCAAGCTGCTAAACAGCTTCCAAATAGTTGCTGAATAACTACTAAATAGGTGCTAAATAGCTTCCAAATAGTTGCTAAATAGCTTCTAAATAGCTGCTAGCTAGCTGCTAAATAGTTTCCAAATAGTTGCTGAATAGCTTCTAAATAGCCGCTAGCTAGCTGCTAAATAGCTTTCAAATAGTTGCTGAATAACTACTAAATAGGTGCTAAATAGCTTCCAAATAGTTTCTGAATAACTACTAAATAGGTGCTAAATAGCTTCCAAATAGTTGCTGAATAGCTTCTAAATAGCTGCTAGCTAGCTGCTAAACGGCTTCCAAATAGTTGCTGAATAACTACTAAATAGCTGCTAAATAGCTTCCAAATACTTGCTGAATAGCTTCTAAATAGCTGCTAGCTAGCTGCTAAATATACTTGCTGAATAGCTTCTAAATAGCTGCTAGCTAGCTGCTAAATAGCTTCCAAATAGTTGCTGAATAGCTTCTAAATAGCCGCTAGCTAGCTGCTAAATAGCTTCCAAATAGTTGCTGAATAGCTCCTAAATAGCTGCTAGCTAGCTGCTAAATAGCTTCCAAATAGTTGCTGAATAGCTTCTAATAGCTGCTAGCTAGCTGCTAGCTTTCAATAGTTGCTGAATAGCTTCTAAATAGCTGCTAAATAGCTTCCAAATACTTGCTGAATAGCTTCTAAATAGCTGCTAGCTAGCTGCTAAATAGCTTCCAAATAGTTGCTGAATAGCTTCTAAATAGCTGCTAGCTAGCTGCTAAATAGCTTCCACATAGTTGCTGAATAGCTTCTAAGTAGCTGCTAGCTAGCTGCTAAATAGCTTCCAAATAGTTGCTGAATAGCTCTAAATAGCTGCTGCTAGCTGCTAAATAGCTTCTTCAAATAGTTGCTGAATAGCTTCTAAATACTTAGCTAGCTGTGCTAAATAGCTTCCAAATAGTTGCTGAATAGCTTCTAAATAGCTGCTAGCTAGCTGCTAAATAGCTTCCAAATAGTTGCTGAATAACTACTAAATAGGTGCTAGCTAGCTGCTAAATCGTGTCCAAATAGTTGCTGAATAGCTTCTAAATAGCTGCTAGCTAGCTGCTAAATAGCTTCCAAATAGTTGCTGAATAACTACTAAATAGGTGCTAAATAGCTTCCAAATACTTGCTGAATAGCTTCTAATATAGCTGCTAGTTGTTGCTGCTAAATAGGTGCTAAATAGTTTCCAAATAGTTGCTGAATAGCTTCTAAATAGCTGCTAGCTAAATAGCTGCTAGCTAGCTGCTAAATAGAAATAGCTTCCAAATAGTTGCTGAATAGCTTCTAAATAGCTGCTAGCTAGCTGCTAGCTTCCAAATAGTTGCTGAATAGCTTCTAAATAGCTGTTAGCTAGCTTCCAAATAGTTGCTGAATAACTACTAAATAGGTGCTAAATAGCTTCCAAATAGTTGCTGAATAGCTTCTAAATAGCTGCTAGCTAGCTGCTAAATAGCTTCCAAATAGTTGCTGAATAGCTTCTAAATAGCTGCTAGCTAGCTGCTAAATAGCTTCCAAATAGTTTCTGAATAGCTTCAAAATAGCTGCTAGCTAGCTGCTAAATAGCTTTCACATAGTTGCTGAATAGCTTCTAAATAGCTGCTAGCTAGCTGCCAAATAGCTTTCACATAGTTGCTGAATAGCTTCTAAATAGCTGCTAGCTAGCTGCTAAATAGCTTCCAAAGAGTTGCTGAATAGCTTCTAAATAGCTGCTAGCTAGCTGCTAAATAGCTTCCAAATAGTTGCTGAATAATTACTAAATAGGTGCTAAATAGCTGCTAAATAGCTTCCAAATAGTTGCTGAATAGCTTCTAAATAGCTGCTAGCTAGCTGCTAAATAGCTTCCAAATAGTTGCTGAATAGCTTCTAAATAGCTGCTAGCTAGCTGCTAAATAGCTTCCAAATAGTTGCTGAATAACTACTAA